CTATTTTAAGAGACATCATACTTACATAATTTTTATTACAATACATTGTTATAATTGTCCTATTTTATTATTAGTTTTATTGTTAATCTCTTTTTGAAGGTGCTTGCGTTTTTTAAAAAAGATTTTATTTATTTATTTTTAGAGAGAGGGAAAGAGAGGGAGAGAAACATCGATGTGAGAGAAACATCAATTCGGTTGCTTCTCTTGTTTGCCCTGATCAGGACCAAACCCGCACGCAACCCAGGCAGGGTGCCCTGACCAGGAATCGAATTGGTGACCTTTTGCTTTGCAGGATGATGCCCAACCAACTGAGCCACACCTGTCAAGGGCTGTTCTTAATCTCTTACTGTGCCTAACTTATAAATGAAACTTATCATAGGTATGTATGTATAGGAAAAAACAGTGTATATAGGGTTTGGCACTATGTGTGGTTTCAGGCATCTGATGAGGGTCTTGAAACATATCCCCATGGATAAGGGGGAACCACTGTAATCCAGATTTGTTCTTTTTGTTTCCTTGCCTGGAATGTCTCTCCCTCTCTTTAGCTTGAGGCTGATCGTTTTTTCCAATGTGCTTTCCCAGTTTTACCTACTTAGTAGACAATTCCAAATTTCCAATCCCAGCCTTAGGGGATTGCCCTTTTCTCTGGAATCCCGTATCACTTGTGGTCTGCATTTGATGCATTCAGTCATTCATCCATGCTCTTCTCTCTGTCTGGAATGCTGTTCTTCTAGCTCTTGGCATGAGTGGCTTCTTCTCATTCTTTAAGCCTCAACTGAAATGCCAGGTCTACAGAGACCTTCCCTCACTACCCATTCTACAGTAAGAGCCTTTTCTATATATTCAGAAACTGTGGACCCCAGCACCCAGCTTAGTAGCTGGAGCATAGTAAATATTTATTAAATGAGTTGACAGAGTCATTTATTATTTTAATTTAATGTATAATTTCCATTTTAGCTTAAGAACAAAAACGTTAGTAACTCCTAGAATTAAGACACATTTAAACACAGGAAATATTAGGTCTCTGTTTGTATAAGAAACTGAGAAATTTTCTGGAAAATAACACATTCTAGGGGGTGAAATACTATGTGAAACACCAATGTATGTTTCAAGTATAGTGGTTTAAAATGAATAAATGAATGATTCTGCATGTTTTGCTTAGGTTCTCTGTACTCTTCCCCTAGCTCTCTGGGATGGTGAGAAAATCTTTTTGTTTATTTTCATATGCACATCTGAATGTATTGTGATGGAAATAATCTAAATAGGAAGATATCAAACATTTCATCTTAGTTATTTCTATGCAAAAAATAATGTATTTAATATAGAAAATCAATATTATTTTGAAGTTGATTGTTTCAAAATATTCTAGATTTTTAAAGTTGAAGTTAACAAAATTTCGGTAATTTATTACTGAGTCATGTTTGATTATATGAATGTAACAGAGTTTGTATATCTGTTCTCTTATTGATGAACATCTGGGCTGTATCTAGTTTGTGGCTGTTATGAATAAGGCTACTATGAACATTCTTGTAGAAGTCTTTTGTGAATATAAGTTTTCATTTCTTTGAGATAGATAGCTAGGAGTGAAATTACTGGGTCATATGTTAAGTTTATTAAGGAATACACTTTTGCTCCCAAAGTGGTTGTGCTATTTCACATTCTCACTGTGAAAGTTTTGATTGGATGTCCCCACATTCCCTCATGCTTAGGTTAGGTGATGAGTAATGAAGAGTCATAATAGTTTACTCCTTTTAAGCAATCACCCTACTGTGCTCATAGAACATTTTGAAGGCATGGGTAAATTTAACTGTAGAATCAGTAGGAGATGAAATTAGGGAGCTATTTTTATTTTGTTGGGGGAATAATACTGTTTTATTTAGATAGGAGAATGTCCTTATTTATTATTTTTTAGATGTGTATTTTGGCATGAAATGTTATAATGTGTGATACTTTGAAACAGCTTAACCACAATAATAAAAAATAAAATATAGATCGGTAAATCAATAAAGCTGATATGACAAAATGTTAATAATGGTCTAAGAAGTGACTTATAGGTGTATCATTTTTTAAAACTTTTGTATGTTTGAAAATTTCATAATAAAAATAAAAAAATACATAAAAATTGCTTTATCTTTCTAGTGAATTTTTCTTTTTGTCCTTATGTTGTGACTCGCTTTATCCATAATGACTTTTTTCTTAAAAGTATATTTCTTAAAAAGTACATTTTTTCTTAAAAGCATATTATGTCTGATACTAATGTAATTATCTCATAATACTAATACACTATCTTGAAATAGTAGTGTAATGTCTTTTGTTAATATTTGCTTGGGAGTCAGTCCAGAGGCTATAGAAGAGCCACCGAAGGAGAATGCAAAGATGCTGTCTGTGCACATGGCCTGGGACTGTGGCTGCACTCTCCTTTGCCAGGCTGGGCTAGTCTCCAAAAATGTTTTGGGACCTTCCTTCATGGCCACAACAAACTTCCATGCCCCTAACCCTTGCCTTCAGAGACTGGCACTGCCAGTATGTTCTCTGTTCTTGAAGAGCATATTCTTGGAGCTAGTCCCTCTGATGACCTTGAAGAATCTGGGTGTGTCTCAAGTATTGGTGATGGTATTTCTTGGGTACAAGAGTTGAGAATTGTTTGAGCAGAAGAAATGGTAGACTTTTCTTCAGGCTTAAAGGATATGTCTCTGAACTTGGACCCTGATAATATTGTTGTATTTGGAAATGATAAATTAAGGAAGAAGATACTGTGAAGAGGGCAGGAGCCACTGTGGACCTACTAGCTGGCTAGAAGCAATCAGGTTGTGTAGTAGAGACCCTTGGTGATGTCGTTGATGGAAATGGTCCAGTTGGTTGCAAGACCCATAGACAAGTTGTCCCGAAAGCCCTTGGGATCATCCCTCTAATCTCTGTGCAGGAATCAATGCAGACTTGCATTAAACTGTGGGTAACTTGGGTGCTGATTGGTTGTGGTCAGCATGAGCTGATTATTGGTGACCGACAGATGGGCAGAATGTCAATAATTGGCAAAATCATTAACAAGAAATGTTTCAATGGCAGATCTGATAAAAAGAAGCAGCTATATCATATCTACATTGCTACTGGTCAGAAGAGACCCACTGTTGCCCAGTTGGTGAAGAGACTTCCAGATGCATATGCTACAAAGTGCACCATTGTGATTTCAGCAGCTGTCCCACTGTGGTACTTGACTCCTCATTCTGGTTGTTCTGTGGAAAAATATTTTAGGGATAATGGCAAATGTGTCTTGTTCTTCTGTGACAAGTTATCCAAACAGGCTCCTCATCAGATGTCTGCCTCTCCGCAGACCCTTCTGCAGCTTGCGAGGCCCATCCTTGTGAAGTGTGCTACTCACACTCTTTATCTGCTGGAGAAAACAGCCGAAAGAATGACACTTTTGATGGTGGCTCCTTGACTGCCTTACCCGTTCTAGAAACAGGCTGGTGATGTGTCTGCTTGCATTCCAACAAATGTCATTTCCAACACTGATAGACAAATCTTGGAAACAGAATTGTTCTGCAAAGGTATCTGCCCTACCATTAACGTTGGTTTGTGTCTGTTTTGTGACAGATCTGCTGCCCAAACCAAGGCCACAAAGCAGATGGCAGGTGCCACGAAGCTGGAATTGGCTCCTTATCCTGAGGTTGCCACTTTTGCCCAGTTTAGGTGTCTACCTTCATGCTGCCACTCAACAGCTCTTCAGTTGTGGTGTGCATCTGAGTCGCTGAAGGAAGGACAATGTTCTCTTAGGGTTATTGAAGAAGTAGCTCTCATCTAAGATGGTGTAAAAGGAGGCAGCTTGATAAACTGAAGCCATTTCTATTTCATTTTTTTATTTTTTTGCTGGAGTATTTAAACGTAAATCTTAAATGAATGATATTTTATCCTAACTACTCCATTATGCTTTAAAAGACAAGAAATTTTTACTTAACCACGAAGCCATTTTTACCTCTAAAAGTAAAATATTTCTTATTTTTCAATATAAGCTATTAAAATTTCCCTGATTGACTAAAAAAAAAAAAAACCCAACAAAAACTTTTTATCATTATCTTTTCTAACTGCAGTCCAATCAAGGTCCACGTATTGAATTTGGCCCTCACAACCTCTAAGATGTCTTTTCACCGGGAGGAGGGCTCCATTTCCCCTTTCTTTGTACCATTTACTTCCAGAGGAACCGGGTCAGTAATCCTGCAGAACGTCTCAATTGCATCCTTGCGGTGTTTACAAATTAGTTTCTTCTCCATCCTCCGCATTTCCTGTACTCTAAAAGTTAGATCTAAAGACTTAAATTCTATTTCAAATTTTTGAAAAAAGGTTTTATTTGTTTATTTCTAGAGAGAGGGGAAGGGAGGAAGAAAGAGGGAGGGAAGTATCGGCCAGTGCCCTGACCGGGAATGGGACCAGCGACCTGCCGCTTTGTGGGACTACGCCCAACCCACAGAGCGGTATCAGTCAGGACTTGTTTCACACTTTTGACAAGACTGCTCTAGGTGATGTGATAGACTTCATATTATCGCATTACTTCATGAGTTACATAGCGTCAGACTGTCTCGCTCTTAGCAATGCTTAAATTGTTCAGGCAGTGACAGCCTGATTCCTTCATTGTGTAATAAGCCACGTTCTCTGCGTCCATTATATGCAAGGAACTGCATTCCCTTGTGCACGCCACTTTCCAGAGACGTGCTAACCTAGGGAGAGAGATGGGCAAGGTTTGTGGAAGGCGGTGAGTACCATCCCTTGGGATGTGGGACTCTGCTTGCAGACAGTGGGTGTCTCGCGCCCGCGTGGGCGGTCGGGGTGTGGGTAGCGCGCGCGCCCTGCCTCCGTCAACGCGGTCTTCGGGCCGGCCAATCGGAAGGCGGGCGGGAGGGGGCGCGGCCTGGCGGGGCGGGGCCGATCTGTCTGCGGCCGAGTCCTCCCACGGCACTGCGGGCTCAGAGCGCGCCGCGCCGAAGCCTTTCGCTTCCCTGCGGGCCATGGAGCGGCTGACGTTGCCTCCCGGCGGCGCGGCGGCAGTGGACGACTACCTGGAGTACCGGAGGTGAGGCGGAAGCTCCGGGGAGCGCGGTCGCCCGGGGCGGGCCATTCCGCGTTGCTAGGGGAGCGACAGGATGCAGGCAGCGGCCGGGCGCTCGCCGGCTGGGTCCCTGGAATCCGTTCCCAAGCTGTTCGGGGAGGCTTCCATTGATTTCGAGTTTCGTCTTTCTGGAACTAAATATTGTAATGATACGCAATACCTAACTCATAAATCTCTTCCGAGACTGTTTATAAGGTCTCCCGCTCCGGCCTCTTCCAAGAAGGATTATAAACTCTAGATTTATGCAAAGGTCCCACTGTTTTTCCTAAACGGCCATTTAAGAATTACACATGGAATACTCGGGGCCTATAAAAGTGAGCAGACGTTAACTTTGCATGTTAGTGTAGCGGTAGGGTGAGTCGTAAACTTCCAGGCGTGATCTCTGTCCCAAGGTGCTGGTTTTGGGAGAAAGACGCCGACTGATGGAGTTTGGGTGGTTCTGGAACTAGTCCTCTCCCGAAACTAGAAACGCAGTCGCCCCTTTGGCCCTGACCAAGTCTGGTGCTTCTGCGACGACGGGTTCTTTTTGCGGTCTCCCAAAAAAGGTTTTTGACAGTTGGGAAACCGGGTGAGTGGGAATTACTGGAGAGAAACAGGCCGGAGGATGCACTGTTGGGGAGACAAAGTGTGTGTTATAAGTGGGAAGCAACATAATCAGTTCCCTCTGGGAAACCTGAGCGAGAGGGGCCTCTCTGCATAAAGGTGGCTGCCTAAAAACACTCAGGGGTGTTTGGGGAAACGTGTTTTCTGTCTGGCTGTCCTCCCTCTGTTTCCTGGTGTAGTTGAGTAACGCCTAGAAATGGGAATTCTGAGCCAGAAAAATGAATCTGAATAGCTTGATAGGTCAGGGCTCATCCTGGGTTCAGGTGGGTCCAGGTAACCCAGGAGTCCTGTGCTCAGAATGGGTTCCACCCAGCCCTCACCCAGGGGCAGAGCTGGCTCCTTTAGCCTCCCCGTCTCCAGGGCTTTTAAACACTGGGACCAAGTTGCTGGGTCCTGGCGTTGACTGATAACTTAGGTATTTAGGTGTTTAGACGTATGGATTGTGGTCCTCCAGTTGTCTCTTACTTGGTCAGAAAACGTTAGGGCCTGGTGGAAAATTATTTTTGCAAACATGAATAACCTGGAACAATTCCTTTGAAAAGTTAGAGCCTGCTAGTGCAAGTGTAACAATGATGGACCAGCTGTGTAGCACCACCTGGGAGCTTGTTAGAAATGCAAACTCTCAGGCCCACACTAGACCATCAATCTTGAATCCACATTTGGACTAGATCACTTGAGGACTGTGTAAATACAATAAAGTTTCAGCTGCACTGGGTTAGAATCTAGATATGAATGATCTCTTTAAAAACTTGAATTGATTTTAAGATCTTTTCAGTACCTGTTGATACACTTCTTGGTAGTTATAACAAAGTGAAATGGCTCAAAAATGATCTCAGAATAAAATGCCCCCCCACTATTTTTTTTTTTTTTTTACTATTGTGTATCTAAATTATTTAAGGAAGAAGGTTGTGATGGTTTCATAGCTCCCGAATTGGTTTTATTTATCTACCTCAGCTAAAGGCTTGAAAGTATGGAAAAAGGTATAGATTGCACAATAAAGTATGCAGCATTCTGCAAACAACACTGTTCATGACTTTTGAAAGGTATATATATTCGAGGAGAAATTTCTTCAATTTTGAACAAATACTTTTAATTGTGATACCTTTTCCTTCAGGGAGGCCACCTCTCAATTTCTTAAGAAATTTTGGTGGCTTATTTTTTCTCATAAAATTTGGAGGTCTTACTTCTGGAGTTGAACAATGATGCACCTCATTACTCGGCAACAGGTGTGGGTTTAAGCTTGTGCAGGTCCAAGGGTGTTTGTGGGTCTCGCATTAAAATCCTGGCCAGGGTTTAAGGTCAGGTATGGACATTAGTCATATTGTCTTCTGCATTGATTTTTTGGATACTATTGTTTTGCGGGGGGTGTTACTGTTTTTAAAAGAGGAAAATGTTAGAATTTTTAGCAGTTTAGGCTCCCGCTTTTAATGTGAAGAATGAGCATGTTTGCTTCAGAATCAGAGAAACTGAGGTGAGTATGTGGCAATTCTCCTTGTGGTAAACCTAGATCAGTAAAGTCCGATTTTATGAATTCATTTACTTTCTTATTTATAATCCTCTTTTATATGGGAAGCAAAAGTTTTATTACCATTGTGTGTAATTACGCTATTAACATAAACCTAAAGTAAAAATTTAGAGCCATAGCAGCCTTTGACTATACAAGTATAGTTTAATTTTAGAGTATAATATTTTTAACCTGGAAAATAAATAATCAAGGCTTAAGAGAAGCATTTCTTTGTTGTAGAATTGTGGGTGAGGATGATGGAGGGAAACTTTTTACTCCTGAAGAATATGAAGAATACAAAAGAAAAGTTTTACCTATGCGCTTACAGAACAGATTGTTTGTGAGCTGGCGATCACCAACTGGAATAGATTGTAAACTCGTGGGCCCAGAGACACTGTGCTTTTGTACACACAGGTAAGATATTTTATTGCTAGGTTTTCTGATGATCAGAAAACATAAAACTGTAGCAGAACATATTTTCCTTCTATAAATAACATTACTTGTGATAATCAAGAAACAGTTAAAATAGGCATTTATATTTTACACTAGAAATTATTTAAAATTTTTTTTGCTATAAGTAAAACATTCTATTATACCCTATTGTAACTCGTTACAGTCCATTACCTTAAGTATCTCTTCTCTTCCCATTGGTAAAAACGGTATTGGTGCCCCTGTGGCTTTGCCAGGGGTCTCTCGGTTAGGATGGGAGCACAGTTTGCCTCTCCCACCACTGGACAAGGTGGGCAAGGGTGGGTCGTCAGACTGCAGACCTGCTTGAGCTGACCAGGTCCTAAATGTGCAAAAAGAAGCATTTCTCCTCAAATTTTCTAATATTGCTTTATACTTCAAGAAATGTGTTAATACTGTTCAAAAAAAAAACAAAAATACTAAGCACAGAGGTTTTTATTACACATGATCCATTTCCAAGAAAAGCACATGGAGCAAAGGCAATATATGAAGCCCCAATCCTTTTCTTTCATTCTTTAAAAAATTTATTGATTTGAGAGAGAGACAATGAGGTAGATAGATAGAGAGTGAGAAACATCAATTTGTTCTTTCACTTACTTAGTATTCACTGGTTGATTCTTCTGTGTGCCCTGACCGAGGATCGAACCCACAACTTTGGCATATTGGGTTCATGCTCTAACCCAGAGGTCCCCAACCTCTGGGCCATGGACTGGTACTGGCCCCGGCCTGTAAGGAACTGGGCCCCACCGCAGGAGGTGAGCTCCAATGTAATGCATTTCAATCATCCTGAAACCATTCCCTCCCCACCCCGGCCTGTGGAGAAATTGCCTTCCACGAAACCAGTCCCTGGTGCCCCAAAGGTTGGGGACTGCTGCTCTAACCAACTGAGCTACCTGGCCAGGAGGAGGTCCCGATCCTTGTTGCCTATTGCCTGTACCTGAGATTTGCATTTGGCAGCGTTTGCTGTGTTCTACTTTAAATTTTACCACTGTCACTGGGCACCGTTGTAAAGCTCAAAAGGACAAAGCTCTTCATGGAAAAGTCACTGAACCTGTAGGTAACAACTTCAACTTTCTATTCCAGAACAACCATGAAGGAGAACCACCCTCCTCTGATAGTTTTTGGCACTCTTTTATGAGACATTCTATGTAGTTGTTATTTACAGACTTGCAGTTTGCTAAAGGTTGTTAGGCAGTTGCTAGGATACGATGAGTAATGTTTTATATAGATTGACTTGAAATTTATTTAGTGACTCCACCTAAAAGCACTATGGATGTCTTTCAGAATTCATTCATGTTACCAATTCATGTTAGTTTCAATTATTATTCTTGTACAAATTTAGTGCCCCGTCTCTTTTTTATTTATGCTTATACAACATGGAATTAACCTTTAAAATGGACCCAACTCAACTTTGATGAAAGAGTTCTTTAGTACGGTTCAACAAGTGAGCTCTCTTGTCAACACAGTCTTTTCCCCCCTGTTATAAAAATGAAACATGGTTATTAGGAAAATGAGGAATATATAGAAAAGTAGAAGGAAGACTCACCATCCAAAGCCAGCTGCTGTTAATACATTATACTATATTCATGTAATTTTTAATTTACAAAGTTAGTTTAGTTAATTATGTATGCATATAAATATTGAACCAGTTTTTCATGGCAGGATCACAGAAGTGTGTTTCCACATTGTTACATATTAATCACAAGCAAGATTTTTTTTTTTTTTTACTCTTTAAAATAGATTTTATTTACTTATTTTAGAGAGGGAAGGGAGGGGGAAAGAGGATGAGAACCACTGATGTGTGAGAGAAACATTCACCAGTTGGCTCCCGTTTGCTTCTTGACCAGGGACTAAATCAACCTGCAACCCAACCATGTGCCCCAACCCAACTGAGCCACACCAGTCAGGGCTGTTACTTGCTTTTCAGTTAAGTTTAAATCCTTGAGGGGTACAGCATTACACGGATTCTGTGTCCAATGGCCTTAGCACGAAGATTGCTTCGGAATTTAGCACGGACCATGCCACTGTTGCCATGAGCACGAGTTACCTTTCCCCAGATGACTCTGGTTTTGTTTGGTTTACCACCAGGAGTCACTGTCTTGTTCTTTGCTTTGCACACATAGGCACATCTCTTGCCCAGATAGAATTCAGTTTCATCTCGAGCATAAACACCTTCAATTTTAAAAAGAGCTGTGTGTTCCCTCTGGTTCCGGAGACCCCATTTATAGCCAGCAAAAATGACCTTGGACCACAGCCTTCCAGACATACTTGTCGTTGTAGAAGTCCTGTTCCCAGCAGGGCGAGCACCCGTTCTTGGGACGTCAGGGGACCAATACCATCAGTTCTACATCTCCTCCATCCTGTCCTCCCTGCTGCTGGAATTCACAGCAGTCAATGCCTAGCTCAGCCTCCGTGCCACAGCAGTGCCTCGCCGACATATGCGCTGGAACCCACTGCAGTTGTTTACCTCCAAAATTCAGCAGCAAGAACAACAAGCAAGATTTTTAATACTGCCTTATATTCAAGTTAGTTCATTGTGTGTCCCCGGAGGTGTGAGAGTGTCCTGGGGGTGTACGAGCTGGAGGGGCAGGTTAGGGAAAGGGCAGGCTCCAATTCCGGCTCTTTCCCTTGCTTCAGCCAACTCTGCTTTTATCCATTTTATATTTTATATTATGGTTCTGTAAAAGATATTATTTGAAAAACGGGTTTCACTGATAAAAAGTTTAAAAACCGTTGCCTTGCAATTTATTTAACCACTCCCTTGTTATGAGTATGGTGTGTGTGTGTGTGTGTGTGTGGTTATATGTATATAGTTATAATACGTACTGTTGCTAATACTATCTTTATGCACAAAGCTCTCTACATGGAATTCTTTTCTTGGGGTATATTTTAAAAAGTGAACTGTCTGGTTTAAAGGATGGGTGGATCTATTTAAGTTTTCTTGCAACACTAAATGGGATTGGTTCTTTTGTAACACTCTAGGCTGCATTGTGAATTGTGTATAGTTAAAAAAAGCTTTGGCTCTCTTTACTAAGTGAAAAATGATATCTTGTTATTTTAACTTTTATTTTTGAGATTTAATATTGAGAATAATAAATTTAATAGTATTTTAGTGAGAATCATCTTATGAGACAGGAGTAGTTTAAGAAAATTACTTAGTGTTTTAACAGAGAGCGTTGGCTTTTGAAAATGTTGATAATTTATTTTGAAGGTAAAAGTTAAAAATTAAATTATATTAAAATAATTTACATTAATATATGTTTATTGAACTGGTTTCAGTCTTAAATAGCAAATCTGTAGAAATAAATTTAAGTAATGCACCTTAATAAAAAGAATTTTTATGAAGAATTTATTTCGTACTCTTATATGTGTTTCCATATTAAAGAATCTGTAGTGGTATGTGTTTTAACAGGACCATATGATATTTCTTTGTATATTGCTGCGATAACTAAAAATAAAAACCTAAGAGTAAAGATTTTCTCTGACCAAAGCAACATAGCTGCCAGAAATGCTGCAGGTAGAGGAGTTTATTTCCACCTTACTAACAAGAACAACGAAACAAAAATAAAATAAAAGGAATCATTCTGCATTTAACAGAATAGGAATATTAATTTCTGGCATTACCTGTATTGTGTTTTTCTGTCTTTCCTTTTATTGACTTTTTTCTAGGTATAAACAACATAAAACTGACTTTGAAGCAGTCCCACCGCAGCGCCCCATTAGCCTGCCGTGCCGAGTGAGGGGCTGCCCGTGCGGGGCTTACAGTTACGTCCCGCTCAACGGTGCGCAGCCCGTGCGCTGCAGGTGCAAGCACTTTGCGGATCAGCACAGCGCCGCGCCTGGCTTTGCGTGCAACGCCTGTGAGTTACATTGTTACAGTCACACCAACAGCATGTTTGTATTTGTTTATTAAATTGTTCTTGTGTCTTTGTGCGAGTTTTATTCAGCTATAGAGTCAATATGAAACAGAAGAATTTGGTGGGTAGCTACTCTAAAATTTTATTTTTGTGGTAAAATTCCAAGTTACTTGTATGCTTTGCAGTCATAAACCCTAATCTTATGTAATTTAAATCAGTGAAGTAGATTTTAAATAATTACTAGAAGTGATTTGATTCAAATTTTTGAATAATGGGAGTTTTATCCAGTAAATTCTTTTACAATTTTTTTTTAAAATCCTCACCTGAGGACATTTTTTTTCATTGCTTTTGGAGGGAGGAAGGGAGAGAAAGAAACATCGATGCAAGAGAGAAGCATTGATTGACGGCCTCCAGTGGTGTCTGGACTGGGCAGGGGATGACCCCGCAATCGAACCCGCAGCCTTTTGGTTACGGATGATGCTCCAACCAACTGAGCCACACTGGCGAGGGCCTTTTATAGGGTTTTAAAAAGGATTTTATAAGTAGGAAAAAAAAATAGAATTTGCTGGTAGGGTATTATGTTCTTGCTTAAAACAGAGATTTTCAAACTTTTTCATCTCATGGCACACATAACCTAATTACTAAAATTCTTTCTGATCACAAAGAATAGGTATAATTTTGCTTTATTCAGACTGGATGGCTATTGTTGTGCTGGCTGTTGTCATTTTTTTATTTGCTAATCCAAAGGAAAAGAGCTTGGTGTCCCTGACTAAATACTCAGGTATTGCATGTTTTAAAAATTTTTATGGTACACTAGTGTGCCTAGCATGCTGGTTGAAAATCGCTGGCTTAAAACATGCTTGTAGGTTGATAAGGAAGGCGAAATGTAGCATGATAATTTTCACACTTTGTATGCGATAGTGGCCTTATCTCAATACCTAGACCCAAATCCCAGTCCCCATCTCATATGCCTTTTCACTTGGTCATAAAAACCCTGTAAAAATTCAATAAAATTCAATAAAAAAAAACCAACTTTTGAAAGAGGCTATTAATCCAGTATTTATTTTCAGGAGATAGTTATTCCAGTTGTTTTGCAGTAGCTTGAATTGAAATCTTATGATGAAATACATTATAAAGCATTTTTAATGACAGTGGTAGAAATAAATGTATTTCATTGGCTAAGTATGGAAGTAGTTGGATAAGACTTATTTCATGCCTCAATTCCCATACATATTTGTCAGAAGTATGAGTGTGTGAAGATTTTATTAATGGTGTATCTGGCCTTCCTATCAGTAAGGTGTTTTTTTTTTTAATCTAACAATTTTACTAAGATATAATTCGCATACCATACAACTCACTCATTTCAAGGCTATAATTTAATAATTTTTAATATATTCACAGAGTTGTGCAACCATCACCACAATACATTTTAGAACATGTTTTTCACCCCAAAAAGAAACTTCATACCCATTAGCAGTCATTTCTTATTCCTCTCGCCCCCTGACCTCAACCCTATGCAACCAATAATCTACTTTCTGTCTCTGAGGATTTGTCTATTCTAGACATTGCATACAAAGGGACTCACAGAATATGTGGTCTGTTGTGATGGTAATCTTTAGCATAATGTTTTTATGATTCATCTGTGTTGTAGCGTGTATCAGTACTTCTTTCCTTTTTATTGTTAAACAGTATTCTGTTGCATCCTTTCTTTGTCTACAGGTTGGCCTCCCAATATGGCTTTTATGGGGAATTGATCCATAGAGAGGTTCCCACATTATCTTTCACCTGGTCCTGGCCCCTGGTTGTCCCCACCCCACCTGCTTTTAACTTACTATTCGAGAGAGAGCCTGCATTTCCTGGCTCTCCAGTACTCAGCCCACCTTCTTTTAGTCCTTATTGGCTTTAAAAAAAATATTATTTAAATTTATTGATTTTAGAGAGAGAGGAAGGGAGGAACAGAGAGAGGGAGAGAAACATCTATGTGAGAGCGAAACATCAGTCGCTTCTTGCACTCTCCCCCACTAGGACCAAACCTGCAAACCAGGCATGTGCCCTGAACAGGAATCAGACCCGTGACCTTTTGATTTAGGGGCTGGTGCTCAACCAACTAAGCCATACTGTCCAGGACAGTCCTTATTGGTTTTTCCAATATTTTTTTTCCTGCTACTATTCATTACTGCTTTAGAGTCTTTTAGAAATCAGAGCAGTGTCCAGGAGAGAGTTTGAGGTCTGGAGGTAACAGTTACAGGGGTTAAGGAGAGTACATGAGGAATCCAGATTTAGGTGATTTTGGCCATGTTGAGCACTGTTAGGATCGACAGCTTAGTACCTGTATTTAAAAACATTTAACTGCCTTTATGCCTTGATTCAGGTTCCAAGTGTTCAGGATTCCATAGTTGCTTCACTTGTGCTTGTGGTCAGCCTGCATATACCCACGACACAGTAGTGGAAACTAAGGAAGAAAGACTGGCTCAAGGAAAACCAGTGGGACGAGATGTTCCTTATGCAGCAATGGGAGGATTAACTGGCTTCAGCTCCCTGGCAGAAGGCTACATGCGGTTAGATGACAGTGGGATTGGTAAGTGGTGATACAGAAATGTGAGCTTGTCATGTTGTTTTTATGTGTGTTAACAATAGTGAAGCCTTATGTTTGTTTGGCACTTTATATTCTTTTTTTTTCCAGAAAACATTCTCTTATTTGATTTTTATTTTTTTAAAAAAGGTTTGACACTAAACAACAGGTGGTCATTACAGAAAATCTAGAAATCACAAAAGAGATCGATCCTTTCCCCAGTACTTGTACACAAATCCCGGCCCATAACCGCATTAGTTGTAGTACCTGAATAATATGTCCTTTATTTGATATTATCCTATTGTGTGCTATTTTTGCCACTATAACCATCTCATTTTGGACACACAGGTTTATGCCCATGTGTTAATATGCACACACATGTATACATGCAATCACACCAATAATACATGCTTGCATATATGTACACGTGTATGTGCATACAAATCTGCTTGCATATATAAAAGCTTTAAGCAATACAGGGAAAGTTTAATTGGACATACCTCAATTCATTGAAGGTAACCGTATTCTGAATTGAGTGGGATTGGCGAGAAGGATATGGTTTCTATTTAAATACTTTTGTGTGTGGGCTTTTTTGACAAGCATGTATTTTAATTTTTTCATTTCAAAAATTACATAAATATAAATGAATATTTTCTCATTATAAAAGATTCAAACCATAGAAATGAAGTACAAGCCCCCTTTGAACATTTGTCTTTACCCTAGATTCTTTCCCAGAGAGTAGTTTGTTGTCATTAATTGATACAAATTTTTCTTTTTAGCATACATTTTTACAGTTTACTTTTTTTAACTTAGAAAAAATTTAATGCTTTATAATTGTTATTTTTTTAAAAAGTCTATTATGTCAGGATATACTAGTCTACTTAATTCTTTCATAAAAATTAAGCAGAAAGATTTTATTTGTTAATTTTTAGAGAGAGGGGAAGGGAAGGAGAAAGGGAAAGAAACATTTATGTGTGAGAGAAACACAAACAGGTTGCCTCTTGCATGTGCCCCAGCCGGGGATTGGCCCGCAACCCAGGCCCGTGCCCTGACTGGGAATCCCAGCCGTGACCTTGCACTCTGGGATGATGCCCAACCAGCCGAGCCACCCAGTCAAAGTTACCTAATTCTTTTTAACTGCTGCATAGTATTCCACACTACAGATAGATCAGTTTATCTAGACTGTTTCCTTGTTCCTGGCATTTAGATTGTTATCATTTTTTCCCCCTTTATAAACAATTCTGCCAAAAATATCCTTGAACTTGCTTCCTTGTATATCAAATGAATTTGACTCTAAGGTAGATATAGAGGAGTAGAGTTTTGGGGTTGAAATATGTGCATATGTGAAATTTTATTTTTATTTTTTATTTTTAGAAAGGATTTTATTTATTTATTTTTAGAGAGAGGGGAAGGGAGGAAGAAAGACAGGGAGAGAAACATTGATCAGCTGCCTCTCGCACGCCCCCAGATGGGGACCTGGCCTGCAACCCAGGCATGTGCCCTGACCAGGAATCAAACCAATGACCTTTTGGTTTATAGGGTGGCACTCAGTCCACTGAGCAACACCAACCAGGGCTGAAATTTTGATATTTTCTGTCAAATTGCCCTTCAAAAATGCTTTCCTTGTTTATTCTTCCTGTAGTAATGTTTTAGTTTGCCTATTTCTTCACATTTATGCTGATCATTGATATCATTAAACTTAATTTCTGCCAGTTTCATATGTGAAAATGTTATTGTTTCCATTCGATTTCCTGGTTATTAGTGAGATGAGAGTCTTCTTGTATGTATTGGCCACTTTATTTTCTGTGAGTTGTTTGTTCATATACTTTGTTCATTTTTGTTTTTATCTTTTCTCATTGATTTATAAAAAGTCTTACATAGTCTGTGTACTAATCCTTTGTTATTTATTTTGTGGGTATACTTTTCCAATCTGTCATTTGTCTTTTAGTATTTTTTTTTAATAGTTTCTAAATTTTGGGGGCAGGACTTCTCTGCTCCAATTTTATAAACATGTTTTTCATTTTACTTTAATATTTAATTACTTTGTTTTTATGTTTAGGTTTTTCAGACATCTGGAATTTATTTTTTGTGAAAGTATGAGGTGTCGTTTAACTTCAGTTTTTGTCCAAATTGATGACAAGTTATCTTTCCCAAATAATTTGAAACTTTGTCATATTCTGTCACACTTTCTGTTTTGTTCCGTTGGCTGATTTTTCTGTCCTGTGCCAATATTACCTATTTTTGTTATTCTTCATAGTATGTTTTGATATTTGGTATTTCTCCTGTTTGTGTTTTTTTCCCCCAAGATTGCATTGATATATTTGTGCTTCTCTTCTAATTTTATAAGTAGGTTGTTAAATTCCATAAATAAATCCTTTTTCAATATTTATGGGGGCATGATTCTATTAGGTACATGCAATGGTTACAGAAAACCCAATTACCAGTGGCAAACAATAATGAATGATAAAGATGTTGATGAAGAGGTGGAATTTCTGTCAAATTGCCCTTCAAAAATGCTTTCCTTGTTTATTCTTCCTGTAGTAATGTTTTAGTTTGCCTATTTCCTCACATTTATGCTGATCATTGATATCATTAAACTTAATTTCTGCCAGTTTCATATGTGAAAATGTTATTGTTTCCATTCGATTTCCTGGTTATTAGTGAGATGAGAGTCTCATCTGTTACCTATCTGTTACCTCATTTAATCCTCACAGCAACTCTGAGTTGGGTGCTATTACAGATGAGGAAACTCAGCAGGGAAGTAAAACATCTTGTTCTGTGTTATTCAGCTAGTAAATGGTAGGATTGGGCTCAACCCAGGTTGTTCTGCGTGCCTTAGTCTGCCTCATTGTTGTCTATTTCTGTGCAAGTGCCATACTGTTTTCATTACTACAACTTTATAACGAATTGACATTTATGACTTTGCAGTGTTATTTCAGAATTTTCCTGACCTATTCTTATCTTTTAATTATTTTAGAACTCTGGCATCATTTTTAAAAACATTGTATTATTACAAAATCGTTCTATTATATTAGTTGATATCACATTAAATAGTGTTGGAAGAATTGATATTTTAAAATGTTGAGTCTCTTCAATTATTTGTCTCCTGTGTGGCTAAGTAGAATTCTGAAGTTATCTTCATAAAAGTCCAGCACAATTCTTAATTTTGTTTATAGGTATTTTATCTTTTTATAGGTGTCATACATGGGCTCTTATACTTCCTGTATATTCTCTAACTGATTATTGTTTGTTTATAAAAAACAAGTGTTTTATGCTGCTTTTGTTACTAGCAGCATAAAACTGTACTTTATTATTACTATACTTAATCTTAGGGTTTAAAATGTTTAGTTGACTTTGCAAATAATGATATTTTTGCCTTTTCCTTTCCAATATTTATGACTCTTCTTACTCTTGACTAACTAAAATGGCTTGTACTTTCAGAACAATGCTAAATAATAGTGGTTGTAGCTGACATCTTTGCCTTTTGTGACTTCTAGTATTTTATCACTTAAGAATCTTGATAATGTAAGGAAAGAAAACCTACCCACTTTGGCCCTTGAGGAAAGGTGCAGGGGAAGACAGGTAAGAGTGAGGAGAGGGAACATAAGATATTTTTGCCTTGACCTCAGCTATGGGGAGCCTGAGGTAGACGGACGCCTGCTCTGTCAGCCACTTGGTGTCCTGGACAGATGTGGCCCCTGCTGGAATTTGGCTCCTTTGCCTTGCTGAAGGAGTCCTGAATCCCCAGCTCTTAACTGAGCTCTGAGGCACTGGGCTTGCCATGGTGTCTGTCATAACGAGGGGCAAGGGTGACCCCAGAGCAGAGCGAGAGGTGGGTCCCTTGAGCCCTGGGGATTCAGTAGAGGAAGCAGCAGGCATCGAGGGGTCTGTGCTTCCAGTGAGAGTTAAGTGTGGCTGCCAGGCCCTGGCACGCCGGGAGACTAACTTCCTGCTTAGGCGAGCCCTGAGTGCTTCAGCTTGGTGGTGCGCACAGAACCAAGGACCGCACGAGGCCCTGGCTGGACCGGAGCTCCCCTCCTCTGTTCCCACGGCCGCATGGGGTGGGGGCCGAGGCGGCAGGGATCTGAAAGGCGGAGCAATTGCCTCACAATGTTTATGTAATAAGAAAGGATGAACTTTTAAAACCCAATGGGACTGAGAGTTTCTTTTCTTTCCCTCCACCTGCAGGATGTGGGGGAGGTGGGGGTTTGTGAAGAAGATAGAGCACTTATAAATAAATTTTCTTTGCGCTTCCTTCTTTTTGGTTCATAAGTCATATTTAGCAGTTGGTCTTTGTAGTGTGTAGTTGTGGATGTTTCTTCATTTCATTGAAGGAGGTTTCTTTATTTTTCATACTTTGTTTTTAGTTGTTTTCCCAGTGAGGAATAGAGTAAAAATACTCTTATTCTGCCCTCTTAAACTAGAGGTTCTTTATCAGAAATGTCTTGCTTTCGATAGTGTTTTATAACTATGTTAATGTTCTGTACTCTTTGCTGACACAATTACATTTGTGCAGTATATATTCTTTTTCCATGAAAAAGGTCTCTGAGAAATACAAAAATATTTTTACCCATTTGCCCTCACTTTATATAGCTGGTAAAAATATAAATAAAAATTTCCTTTTTATAGAAGGGACTTTTATAATGATTTTGATGAAGTTCTACTTTATTTCACATTTGAAATAAATTCTTTGCCTCCTAACAAATGAGATTTAATTTTCATTCTTCATGTATTTTGTTACCAGGCGCACCTTCAGCTGAATTTTTAGACTCTCCGGGTACGGCCATGGACCACCCATTTCTAAAAGCACTTCAAGCATCATCTAGTTCTTCTCCAGAAACACGAACAGATGGTAATGAAATTAAATGGAGAAACATGTTTGAATGTAGGAAATAAGAATATTGATTGATTCATTGGTGGCTCTCTTTTTTTCCAGTATTACCACAATTTGATGATCATTTTACAAGTATTTTTTTATTGGCCAGGCACTGAGAAATAGCAAGAAACTTTATTTTTTTATTGGGAAAAATTGCTAAGTCTGAGAATTATGAGGATTCAGATAATGCAATAATTTGAAGTTTTAAAACCTTATTTTAGTACGTTATTGCTTTGCTGTGTGAATAAGAGGGCCGTTTAATGGACTAATTGCCTTGATCATTTAGGTTCTTTCAAAGAGGACGTATGTAATCCAGTAATAATTATAGGTTAGCAAGGTTTTATCATTTATTAATTACAACTTTAAAATGAATAGAATTCATTTTAAGCACTACTATTTTATTTCCTTTACTGAAAGCAGGACTAAAAACATTGAAGAAGGAATTTGTATGATTTATTAGATATTTAATATTTAAAAATACTTTAAAATGAGAATTTTCTTTGACTTATTGGTATTTCCGTACAGTCTTTTCACGTACCCTGCTTTCTTCCCAAGAGATTTTAAGGCTGCCACGGACAAAAACCACACAGTGAAGTGTGGTGAAATAGAGACAGAAGAGCAAGGCCAAGGGAATGGACACAACTGCGTCCACATCCAGGGCTGCTGTAATTGCTGCATTAAGCTTAAGCTTTGACAGAGTGTAGTGGCAGCCAGGACACAAAGGAAGATGTGATCAGTTTAATACTGGTCATTGTTAGAGAGGAAGAAACTCCCCAGCCCTGCAGTCACCACACTTTGTCCGTGTCCATGAGTCCTTTTTCCTATTTTTTTTTCTCACAAAAAACAAGTGCTGGGTTTTAAAGATGCCTATATAGTGACCCTCAGTGATGCAGTGGCCCAAAGTCTTTAGAAACTTTATTTCAGCAAATGCAGCTCATTTCTAATAGTCACCTTTGATAAAAGTAGTAGTATACCATTTGCCAGATAATGAATTTTTTCCATTAAAATGCAAGTCAGTGAAGGTGATTTTGCAAGAGGCTTTGCGCAGATGATCTGTCCAACATGATCCAGGGAACAACGCTGGGTTTTCAGATGAATGGATAGATAGCACATGTTCTAAACAATTTTTCTTATTTCTCTCAACAAGGCTTTTGTTAGAGAGTTGACAGAGTTGTGTGATTTTTCTGTGGCTGTTTGAGGGTAAATCCATGTGTATAAAAAATGAGAACAGGTGTTCAGGTTACAAAGGGACCCAACCAAGCCTTTCACCTGAAATATAGGTGAACTTTTCCATGGAACTAGGCTCTTGGTGTACCCAGAACTAAAACCAGATTTTCCTTCTGGGGCAATTTAAAATTTCTTTCAGCATGTAAACTAGTACTTGATTAGTTTTAAAAAGTGAATACCATGGAAAGTGGTTAAAATTATTTTAGCTTTGAAAAATTTCAAAGCAGGTAGAATCAACATTATGGTTGCCTACACAGACTGTCTCAGTCCGTTCAGGTGGCTATAACAAAATGCCACAGGCTGAGTGGATTATAAACAGAAATTTATTTCTGACAGTCCTGGAAGCGGAGGAATCCAAGATCAAGGTGCCAGCAGGGCTGTGTTCTAGTGAAGGCCCTCTTTCTGATTACAGCTGGCCCCATCTCATTGTGTCTCCAAATGGTGGGAGGGTGGAGGGATCCCTGCGGGGTCTCCTTTATAGTAACACTAATTCCACTCGTCAGGGCTCCATCCCCGAAGGCCCCACATCCTAAGACTGTCATATTGGGCATTAGGATTTCAACATGTGAAAGCTTTGTTGGGGGGACAAACATTCAGACCGTAGCACTTCTATAATTACTCCTGTGATTATATTATCTGTTACAGTGGTACATGCATTTCTAGGTTAGCTATAAAATATAAAATGTAATTAAACAAAGCTAAGTGCTCTTATATGAAATAGCCATATTGTGTTATTTAGTATGAACCAGTTGAATATTTGCAGAATGTTTGCCAATGAAAATTGCTTTTGTCTTATGATGTGCTGCTTTCTAAAAAAGAATTAGATGGTAGGATAAGTTCTCCACTGAGACCATTTCAGGTTTGAAAAATAAAAAAAGTATCACGAGGTAGGAGGAAAGTTTTCTTTCATTTTGTTTTTCAGGAAAATTTATAATTATAGAAATATATTAGTTAGAATTATTATTTTCCCCTTTATTAGTAGGTACAAGTAGTCAAGTTTCTTCTTTGAGGAGACCTGAGGAGGACGATATGGCTTTCTTTGAAAGACGGTACCAGGAAAGGGTGAGTCTGTGGAGAAATCTGCTTACACTAAGCATTTACTTGTAACAAAGACACTATAGAATGATTATATATTGATTGTGGGTTGTCATGAAAAATAATTTATGAAGTTTTTACTTATAGCTGGTGTTAGACCTTAGGGCTTATTTATAGCTATTCAGAGAGAAACAGGACTAATGAATAATATGATGGTACACTGGTTAATTTATGGAGGTCATTAAGATTGACTAAATATACAAATAAAATGGTCAGTGATAACCATCAGCAGATTTGTAAATTATGCATATCTTGAATTCATAATATATTCATAGTAGTTTTTCTTAGAAACTTCTAGGTATATTCATATCAAAGTTAAAATTACTCAGTAGACTTCGGGTAATGGAACACTAATCATAAACGTATTTTAACATTTTCTAGGTCTCAACAACTACAGTACTGAAGTGTTCCCAGATTTCAGTAATGATAATGTTTATCAGTTTTCCACCACACTGTGACTCCTTAGGGATAAGTGTAGTATTTTATTCTTCTTTGTATTTTCACCAGAACTAAGTATAGTGCCTTGTACATAATAGGTTTTCAATAAATATTTATGGAAAAAATAGATAAAATTGAGATTCCTTTCATGCATGTTAATTTACTTACACATTTGATATGTCTCAGGCAGTGCTCTTGTTTCAGAGTTTTGTTTTTGTTTATAGCTGGATGAAAGGATGTTGGCTTAATGAGGTGTGGGGGATGTTTTCCAGCCATATGGCACATTCCCCAGAGTGCTCTCTTTAGGATTATTTTATAGTCATGGGCATTTGTTATCTCTCCAACTAGGTCGTAAGTTCCTTGAAAGAAAAGACTCCTGTCACTTTTTGTCATATCCTCTACAACTCTTAGACAAGAGCTTGCTCAGTCACTGAAGGTGTGGAAAAAGGAGACCATTAAATTAATTCACCATCTGAGAGCAAAGGAAGTGAGTAGGGGACAGAGATTAGCTTGGTTTTTGTGATGAAGAATTTTAAAGTGGAGGGGAGAGTCCTCATATGATTTAAGGCAGAGCCAGAAAACAGCTTTCTGCAGTGATAGGTTGTAGCCATGACTCTGTAAGTCTAAGTTAAAGAAATTAAAATTTATTTCCTCAGTCATGCTTGCCACGTTTCGGGGGCTCAGTAGGCCCATGTGGGTAGTGGCTGCCTTACTGGGCAGTGTAGAATGTTGTTTTGGAAAGCTCTGGTCTAAGGCAAAGAGATGGTAGTGGGATCTCCGGGAGGAAGGTGAAATGGTCAGAGTGAGAACAGAAAGGGCTGCTCTTGCAGCATCGTTAAGGATAAACTTGTAATCAAATCAATAATCTGTTCTTGGAGCACACACGGTCGCAGCTCAATTTTAGTTTTTCCTTATGAGCTTATGAGGGACAGGGTTCTAGAACTGCCTTCCCTCCTCTAGAAGCGCAGGTAGTGTTGGCTGCGTTGAAAGCATGCCAGTGGAATTTGCTTGTGGGAAGATAATGGAAGGAGTTCTTATTGTGACTGGTGTATAGGATACTCCTGGCCCACCCAGACTGCTTGTTATAACTAGGCCGAGAATTTGTGGATTTATGAGATGTCATTTATAATGCTCTGCCTTGTATGATTTATGGATTTATGTGGTACAGCTTATAAACTCTCTAGTCTGTGTGATTAAGAGAGTATAAAAAATAAGAAGCTCAAACCTAAACAACTTCTGAGCTGACATGTTAGTACACATTGTTAGTGCTCTTTCTGTTACTTCCCAAAACCAAGACATGCACCCCGGAGGGGAGAGGGTTGGTCAGGAAATGCAATCGGATGGGCTCAGAGCCTTTACAAAGTAACGTTAGGCTTGTTCATACACACCCGGGAGAGAGATAATTGCGGGTTTGGTTTTCCAGACCACCACAATAAAGTGAGTATTGCAATAAAGTGAGAAGTAATCTCTTTGCTGGCAGAGGTCTTGCCCTCATTTTGTAAAAAACACAACATCTGTGAAGTGCAATAAAACAAGGTGTGCCTGTATTTCAAATGTGCAAACACTTCCTTTACTTTTGTTTGTTTAGCATCTTTGCCCTTTTTTGTGTTGCTATAAATTTAACACTTGGTCCTAAGTGAGAGGGGAAAGGAGAGTAACATTTTGTTTAGTGCTTATTGAGTATGTTAATCTTTATATACATGATCTTTTTTACACCTTCAGAACAACTTTGAGATGTGCCTGTTATTATGGCTTTTTTTTTAATACAAATGGTAAAACTGTTGGTTAAGTAACTTGCCTCAAATAGGTAGAAAATGATAGAGGTAGGGCTCAAATACTCTTCTCTCTGACTCCAACGCCTATAACCCTTGCCTTTGAATAGGGTGTACTTTGGGGTCCCTCAGATGACCTGTTGACTGATACAATATGCAAGAGTGATATGAGTGTATGATTTCTTTTCTCTTTAAATATTTTATTTATTTATTTTTAGATAAGGGGGAAGGGAGGGAGAAAGAGAGGGAGAGAAACATCAATGTGTGATTGCCTCTCGCACGCGCCCTCCCGGGGACCTGGCCCGCAACCCAGGCATGTGCTCTGCCCAGGAATTGAACCAGTGAACCTTTGGTTCGCAGGCCAGCACTCAGTCCACTGAGGCACACCAGCCAGGGCAAGTGTATACTTTCTAAATGAGGTTCTCAATCAATTCAAAGAGGAGAGAGAAGAAAAGATGGGAATGAGACAGAGATGAGAGTCATCCAATTTTATTATTAGAAAGTCGTTTATAATTTGATGAGATTGGGTAGAGTGTTTTTGCCAGGTCCCTGCTGGTTTCTTGATATTGATTCCTGTCACCTTAGAGGGGAGGAGGCCCTGCCCCGCCTTCCATGCCCCACAGTTTCTGTGCCCTTCTCTTGCGGGGTAAGGCAGTAGTGCTGCCTTGGGGACTGGTGTGTGAGTGTGGGCAGCAGTGAGGACGAGGCGGGTGGGCTTTCCGTTTGTATGTCTCTCCACCCTGCCAGCCCCCTCCATGGAAAGGGCTATGTGTTTCTAAAAGATCAGAAGGCTGCTGCTTAGGGTCTGCAACTTTCTTTGCTGCAGTTACAGTGGAGGACAGACTTCAGGGAGGTAACTATGGAAACCAGAATTATAGGAACTGCCCTTACTGTAGTTACATTCCAGGGGTAATCCAGCTGGTTTAGGTGTGTTCTGTTACCCTGCAAGTGTTAGTGCTTAGGCTGATGTAAGGTTAGGCGTTTCAGCTTAAAAAAACTGTTTTTAGTGGGAGTTAAAATTACTTTTATTCACTTTCTCCAAAGAAATGTTCATCATATGTTATTTTTATTAAAATGCTTCTGTAAAGTTGAATTCAAACCATATTTTAAAAATGCAATTTGGTCCCTTCAACTATCAGATTTTGGCTTTACTATTTACCAGCTTAACAACTGCTAAACAACTGTGAAGTGGCTGTGGTAAATAAAACATGAATTCAGATGAGGTATGCGCAACCTTTTTTCTTTAGACCATTTTACAGATTGTTATATCAACATATATTTTAAATTTACAGATAAAAATGGAAAAGGCTGCTAAGCATAAAGGAAAAGCACCGTTGCCATCAAACACAAAACCTTCATGAAGACTATTGGGGAAACAAAAACCATCATCCAAATATATCTTTTTTGTGTTTATTTAAATATAATACTGACATTTATTTTCTCTCAAATTATTTACTTCTTTTAGTGTACAAAAATGTCTCTTTGGGTGTTTCTTTAAGTGTGATATACCTTATATTTTATCAAAATTCATGATGTACTATTTTGTATGTACTTTTTTATCTCTCCTAACAAATGAGGTTATTTCCATATTAGTCAAAAGTATAGTAAATATCTTTGGTCTATCATAATTTAACTTTTTCCAAGTTATTTAAAAACATTAAAGATGTCATTGAGGTTTTTGAATAAATACGTAAGAGCCATTGTTTCATTCAAAATAGTAAGTTAAAATCCTTTTTTATTTTTTCAATTTTGTAATGTTGATTTGTTTTTAAATAAAAAACTATTTTAAAATTATATAATTTTCTAGTGATCTCTTCAGAATTTAAGGTGTTTTGTTAACTGTGCCTTGCACTTAGGTGTGTTGACACCTCTTGTGTGCCCCTTCAAATTCTCTTGGCCCTACGTTGTACTCCAGCACTACTGTGAAATATTCCAAGCAGGTGTCTCTCAGCTTCATGTGGAAGCCGTTTGATGGCTCTTTGTATTGGGACTGTGTCATTAATCTCCAGGGATCCTCTGACATCGTGGCTTGGGATGCCTACTGGAGCCCCTCTGCATCATACATATTTAAAAGACACGGGCGGGGGGGGGGGGGGGGGAGTTAATGACCTTGGGACCACCCTTGACTAGTGGGAGGTGGAAGCCAATAGGTAAATACTCTTCTTTCTCTCTGCTGGGAAGGCAATTCTGAGATGCCTTTCATGAATTTCCTCAGTCACCCAAAATAGTGGCCAATTTCATAATCTGTCCTTGTTTCAGCTTTCTCGCCTTCCCTTTTCCACTCCCCGGTTCCCTCATCTTGGTTCTGTGGAGGAGAGACTGTTCCATGGTGTGACTGCTGCTGGACCCACAAGCTGGACCTGGGCCAGAACAGAGATTGCTTCTCATAAACCCTCTCAGAGTCTGTGTGATCATAATCAGTACTTTTCTTCTGACATAAACTAGTACCTCTCTCGAGTCTCATGTCGTGCTGGTTCCTGGAACAGGCCGTTGTCCTGACCTGGACATTGTTCTTGTGCCTGGGACTGATCACATACCAGGACCCCCGTCCTTTCTGTCCTGTTCCATATAATTCTTTGGTGCCTGCCAAGCGGCACGGAAGATACCTACTTTGTTTTGCAGCTGCCCAAGATACGCTTTGTAGGTAAGTTTCCCTTAATAAACACTGTTAATTGCCAGACGAGAGTGGCCCGCCTCTTTCTTCAGTCCTTCCCTGCCTGCCGTTTGTGGAGGTACTGCAGATTTTCAGGCTTTGGGCTTTTCTTTGGGTCTGCGTGTACAAACAGGTTCTCAAAGATCACTTGCCAAATAAATTACCCATATGTAAACATTTGTCTTAGGCTTTGCTTTCGGTTGGAGGCGAGGGGAGAGGAGGGAAATGTGGTGCACCCAGCTAAGATGGGTGCCAGGAACACACTTAGAAAGCAAAACTTCAGGTTGGGATTCTGTGATTGGTTCATTCACTAGAGAGATGACAATAAAGACCCTATAGCTGTTGGTAAGCAGAGTAGTGATTAACTCCTGGCATGGAGCATTGCAGTTACTGCAATGGATTTGGGTCAAGTGCAGGTAGAAGATGACATCTTAGTCTGTACAGTAGTTGTGGCATTGCAGAAGAATGAGACTAATGGGAATTATAAAGATGGAGGTGTTGGTTAGCTATTAACTGCTTTAGAAACCCCAAACAAAAAAAATGACATAGGTTCATGTCAGCTGCTTAAGTCAGGGCACGCTGGCAATGCCACGGTGCCTCAGTAGCACACCTGCAGGCGATCTGTGCTGACAACTGCCCAAATCCAATGGTGAAGTGGCAAGGCCACCGTGGAAACTGCATGCACCGCCCCGATCATCACCTCCAACAAAGTCAGCATGCTGGCAGGATAAGGCTGGAACCCTGAATCGTGGGATGGGGACACTTGTGTTTGTGACCCTGATCTTGAACCCTCAGGTGTTCTTGAACTTTTGAACTGGCAGAAGCAGCCTCCTCCACTTTGCTAGAGCAGAGCAGCCTGTGCTTGCCAGCACATCCTGCAAAGGCTTTATCTAAGGCACTTGCATTGTAAGGTCACACTTGTGTTCCTCAATACCCACCCCTGCCACATCTTAATGACTTCAAGCTGATAACCAGGATTAGTTGGGTCTCATCATAAACTAAGTAGGGAAATTCAGTCCTTCCTCTAGGAGGATAGGTTACAATCTGAATGAACTGCAGATTCTTGTTAAAATGTATTGGCAGGAAATATGTCTGGGGGTAGATCTTTAGGGTGTTGGATCAGGGTATGGACTATAAGGCTTGAAAGAAGAGAGTGACATGAATATTCATATGTAAAAAAATGGTTTGCATCTTATACAAAAGTCAAAAATGATTTTAAGTCTAAATGTAAAGTCTAAGCATGTAAAATGTCTAGAAGAAAATGCAGGATAAAACTTTTGTGTTCTGGGTTAGCCAGAGACTTATTAGGTACAAGACAAAACACTGCTGGTGGGAATATAAAATAGTAAAACTACTTTGTAAAACAGTCTAGCAGTTTCTTGGAAAATTAAATACACAAAACTAACTATATGACCCTACTATTCTACTCCCATGTATTAACCCAACAGAAATGAAAGCATGTGCCCATACAAAGTCCTGCATCTGACTGTCCATAGCAGCTTTATTTGAAACAATCCCAAACCGAAAACAACCTTAATGTCTTTCAGAAAGTAGATGAATTGTATTATAGTCATGCAATGGAATAGTGCTTAGCAACGAATAATACTATTGATACATATAGATGAATCTCAATTATGCTGGACAAAAGAAACCAGACAAAACGTACATACCGTATGATTTTATTAACATCGAATTCTAGAAAATGCAAACTAATGTATGGTGACAGGAAGCATAATCTGTCACTTGAGGTAGGTTGGAGAGCCAAGTATTATAAAGGTGCATGAGGAAACTTTGGAGGTAAAGAAAATGATTGTTCTCTCTTGATTGCAAGGATGATTTCAACAGTGTATATGTATATCTGCTCTTACAAAATTGTGCACTTCCAATGCTGCAGTTTATTATCTTTCAATCAAGGTGTTACATTAATAGAGATAATTTTAGCTGTTGTCCAAGACTTGCCACAGATTGTATTATCAGCATATAACCGGACACCTAAGCTATATTAATCCCCACTCCGCGGCCCCCGTGAAAAAAGTTGCAACATAAGAGACAGAGGTTGGTCCACATTTTCATTTACCAGCGTCATTTTCTCTTTTCCATCCTGTAAAAAAGAATGTTGGGATTCATCTAATTTCGCTGTTTTAAAATTTGAATCAGCGTGAACAAATTGGGAAAGCGCACGAAATTCACGCTGCTACCTGACATCGTTCTTTGAAGCCTCGAGAAAGCAACCTGTCATTGCGGGGGTGTAAGGGGTAACCCCCACCCATAACTCCCCTGCGCGCACGCAACCTGTGCGCGCGGCTCTCCGCGTGCGTGGCGCCGCCCCGCGTGCCCCGCTGCAGGCCCCAGGCCTCGGCTGCGGCCACGTGAGCGGGACAGCGGCCCACCTGATTGCGATGATGGCGCAGGGCGGTGCTCCCAAGGGCCGCGTGCAGCACCAGCGGCCGAGGCTCGCGGGGTAAGTCTCTGCGCCTGCGCTACGGCTGGCAGACGGTGAGCAGTGGTGGCGGGCAAGGGCCGAGGGCCGAGGGCCCAGCATGTGGGGCTGGGGACACTTTCCTAGGGATTCTGTGGCAGAAAGTGTGAGGTCAGTAGTAGTCCTTCTGATAGGTGCGGTGGTGGTCACTTACAGGACCACAGTTTGACCCCTGGTTGCCGGTTAGGTCTCCCCGGGTGGCGAGGCCATGTCCTGGCCTGCCTTCGCCGCCGAGCCGCCGGGCCACCTTCGAGGGTGCCAGGCCCCCAGTTTCCGACTTCGGGGCCAAGAGACGAGCCTGGCCTGCAGATAACTCGGACCTGGGGGTTCTTGGTGACAATGGGTGGAACGCGCTCTTCTGTGCCATTTAAACTTCAAAATCTCTAAGTACTTGTCAAGGAGAGACCTGGACTGGCTTACTCCAGATCCTTGACGTGAATTGGATGTTTAGAAGTGCCGTTTGGTAATCCGGGGTAGCAGAAAGTGGGCGCTGTGTGAGTTTCTTCGTAGTCATCTCAGAAAAGTCGTTTTGATGCTTCTTAAAATAATGGTTTTAAGACTTAACTTTTTCAGAAATAGCTTTGGAGAGTGGTGGGGTTTCCACAGTGAAGATTTTCTCTTTCTTTTCTTTCTTTTTTAAAATCAAATTTAAGCCAGGGTCTCCTTAAACTGGTTCCAACTTGGTTTTACAACATTTTTGCTCAATCTAAAAATTACTTTTTGATCAATATTGGAGGAAGAATCCTTGTTTTGAAGATGTCTTGATGCTGCTTAGTGTATGTGAAAAATTTTTTTAAACTAACAAAAATTAGAATAAAGTTTAAAAAATTTTTATGAGCTTTTTTTACCTCCTGTGACACAGAGTTAACCTTTTACTCTTCCTAGTTCAGGGAGCATTTTAAACTTTCAAATAGTGATGTTCTTAGATAACTTTTTCTTAAATCTATATTTTCAGTTTCCTTCAAAGAGCTAACATTTATGCATGTGAAGTGCAATATCGTAGTTATTAAGGTTAAAATTATAAGCTAATAGGCATTTATTTTGAAATGTTTTGCCATTGGGGAAGTATATTATGTAATATAAATTACTTTTGAGGTAATGGGCAACATTTGATTCTTTTTGCAAGTCATTAATTGCAGAATATCTTCAAAAGCAAAACCACTGTTCCTTTTACACAAAATTGATGACCAGTCTGAAGCATTTATTCTATTGATATGTATATTTGTGGTGTTTCCTTTGGTTTAATTTATGGAAGTTCTACTCTTGTTTTGGGAGGGCATCCATTATTTTA